AGAGCAACACTGGGCTCATGTGGTCATAAGACACTCGGTTCACACCAGTTGCATAAAGTTCATAGCAGACTGCATCTTAAAGAACAATTTAATTAATTCACCTGCTCAACAACAAACAACCAGCAATAATGGCAAAGAAGGTCACCAAGAATTTGGCTCCAAAAATTGGATTTCTGTGTGTCCATGCTAAACTGGCTGTTTCACCAAATGCAAGCCAGTACTTCCAGTGGCTTTAAACAATGTGAAGAGCTATCTAGTGGTTTGTGTAAGGAACTACAGGTCTTCTCTAAAGACATTTTATTATATTTTGCTGTAGTGTACTTCATTGATGCATTTTTACATTTTCATACATAGCTTACAACTATATGTTTAATAGTAGGCCAAAATCAGTGTGCTGATGCACTACTGAACTTCCAAATATAGCCATAATTTTAACTTCTAAGAATTTATGTAATGTAAATGTAAAACGGCTAAATCTGTGTGCTGCAAAAAAAACAATAGATATGTAATACATAAATGAAAATAAAATATTCAAAAAGTAAAAAAAAAAAAAAAATACAAAGAAATCAATAACCTGCACTAAAACAGGATTATAGCTTAGAAAGTCAAGAATGATGTTCATGTATTGTCAGTGTAAAACTGTAAAACTTTTAATCAGAAAAGTTAGAAAGGACATCACAACCCTGATGTGTTTTGTGTTATTCAGTAAATCAACATAAATATGCATATAGGCTTGATATTAGTAAACTAATGATTATAAATGAGTACGTTTTCTTATTAAAAATGTGGCTGTTGACATTTAATTCCACAATTCATATACAGTATGTTTGAGAAGGAAAGAGCACATGCCGTTAATTGTCATTTCTTTGCTCTTCGTTTTCATTTCAATACCCATTTACATTACAAAACGTCCCAAACAATGGGCAACAAAATGTTTTATGAATTATATTTTCTTGTAATTCTGCTAACCCTTCTTTGGTATTGAGAAACCCCTTAAAATCCTTTAGAAAGTAGTATATGGAAAATATACAGTGGGTACGGAAAGTATTCAGACCCCCTTAAATTTTTCACTCTTTGTTATATTGCAGCCATTTGCTAAAATCATCGACAAACATTATTAGCTAGTCTGACAGTCTTTGCTAACGGCTATGTGTGACAAAATCAGATGTACTGAATAAGTACTGCAAGTTAAAATGTTTTATCAATTGAATTAAACTGTTAAAAGCTCTTTGGCAAGTGTTATAAAAGTAATGATAAAGTGAAGTGCAAACTCATTTGGTGATGATAGCAACAGCTTTCTTCATCCAAGCATTGTTACGGAGTAGAGAGAGCATGAAACGAGCCACATCTCCTCTTGACACAGACTGACCAACCGGCAGACCATTTTCATCAGGGACATAATAACCTTCATGAGAGAGGAACTCGTTGGCTTTGAAAACAACAAGAAAAATAACACTAAAATCTGTGGTAATCTAATGGCTTTGCAGCAAAAGCAAACTTCCAATAATGATTCATTTGTCAATAAGCATTTTACATATTACGTAATGTTAAATGCTACCAACAGTTGAAGAAAGCATATATATATATAGTAACGGGGTGAAGAATCACACAAGTAATCTCAATCAATACCCCGGAGGGTGGATTTATTGGGGTGATGGGTGTTCGTGAGAAAAGGTCCAGGTAGGTGCTCCGGTGCTCTCTTCCATCTTCCCAGTGCAGAGGGTCCGTGCAGTGCTCCTGTGGGGCTGGTCGCTCACACGCTGCTTTCTGTGGGAAAAATAAGAGGGCGAGTTAGTGCTCAGTCTCATGGAGGAATCTCGTAGATGGCAGGGCTTGCATGGTTTATTTAGCCGCCGCCTGATGAGGTGCAGCTGTGACCGATCAGCCTGTGATGATGGCCAGGTGCTCCTCGCTGGTTTCCAGAGCGACGCTGATGAAGCTTCGGGACGCTCGTCACACACTCCCCCCCGTCCTGGTCCTGTTAATGATCTGAGATAGTAGGGGAGAGATAAGGGGTGGGTGGGGAGTGACCCCAGACAGACCTGCGAAAGCTGCCCAGATCCGAGAGGCAATCCACGTTGGCGTTTGCGGCTCCAGCTCGATGACGTACCTCGAAGTGGAAGTCCTGGAGCGCGAGGAACCATCAGGTCACCCTGGCATTGGTATCCTTGGCATGGGCCATCCACTAAAGTGAAAGTGAAAGTGACATGACATGAGGCCAAGTATGGTGACCCATACTAGGAACTAGTGCTCTGCATTTAACCCATCCAAAGTGCACACGCACAGCAGTGAACACACACACACACCGTGAACACACACCCGGAGCAGTGGGCAGCCATTTATGCTGCGGCGCCCGGGGAGCAGTTGGGGGTTCGGTGCCTTGCTCAAGGGCACCTCAGTCGTGGTATTGAAGGTGGGAGAGAGCACTGTACATTCACTTCCCCCACCTACAATCCCTGCCGGTACGAGACTTGAACCCACAACCTTTGGGTTATGAGTCCGACTCTCTAACCATTAGGCCACGACTTCCGTGCGTGGTCCGTGGTGCGTGGTCCGTGACCAGGGTGAACTTCCGGCCCAGGAAGTAGTTCCGCAGTTCCAGGACTGCCCACTTGATGGCTAGGGCCTCCGTCTCCACCGCGGCGTAGTTCCTCTCGGCCGGGATCAGTTTCCTGCTGATGTAGATGACCGGATGCTCCTCACCCTCCTGGACCTGTGACAGGACGGCTCCCAGTCCAGTGTCGGAGGCATCCGTCTGGAGCTGGAAGGGGCAGCTAAAGTCCGGGGCTCGGAGGACGGGCTCTGAGATGAGGGCCCCCTTCACCCTCTGGAAGGCCTCCTCCGCTGCTGGTGTCCACTGTACCTTCTCCGGCTGCCCCTTCCTGGTCAAGTCTGTCAGGGAGGCGGCTAAAGAGGAGAAGTTAGGGATGAAGCAGTGATAATATCCGGCCAACCCTAAAAAGGCTTGTACCTGGGTCTTGGTCTCGGGGTGGAGCGTACCGTCTCCTCCTTCCTCTCCTGTGGCCGAATGAGACCCCGTCCTACCTGGAAACCAGGTACTTCGCCTCGGAGAGCGCAAGGTGGCATTTGCGAGGGTTGGCGGTGAGTCCAGCCCTCCGGGGCTCCGAGAGCACCCACCGCAACCAGTCCAGGTGGTCTTCCCATGATGGAGCCCCCTCCAGCAGCCAGTGCTGCGCGAGTCGTGTGAGTTCGGCGGCCTGGGAACGGGCCGGCAGACGGGGCTTATACTCCCATTCGTGGAAGTGCTGGGCAGCACAGATAGGGGATAACCCCAGGCGGGCTAGGATTTCCTTCTTGACCTCCTTATATTGATCGGCGGAGGTGGCGGGAAGAGCGAAGTATGCACGCTGCGCTTCGCCCGTCAGCAGGGAAGCCAGCACCCGTGCCCAGTCATCCTGATGCCACCCTTCCAAGGTGGCCGTCGCTTCGAACATTTGTAAGGCTTCTATGTCACCATGAGGGGTCAGCTTGGGTAGCAGCTTCGCGGCTTGCACTCGGGGGTCCGGCAGCGGAACGCGTTGAGCTGTGGCGGCACGCAGTGACTCCTTGATGGGTGGCGAGGTGCTCAACGATTTGTTGCTGGCGGATGCTAACCTTGCTGAGCCTCTGGAGGATTTCGTCCATGGTGGGGGAGGAGCGCTCGCCTGTGACAGAAACAAGGAAAAAAGGTGAGGTGAAGATCGTTTGTCAGTGATTCTTCACTGATTCGCCCACATTCTCCACCAGTGTAACGGGGTGAAGAATCACACGACAAGTAATCTCAATCAATACCCCGGAGGGTGGATTTATTGGGGTGATGGGTGTTTGTGAGAAAGGTCCAGGTAGGTGCCGTGAGTGCTCTCTTCCGTCTTCCCAGTGCAGAGGGTCCGTGCAGTGCTCCTGTGGGGCTAGTCGGTCACATGCTACTTTCTGTGGGAAAAATGAGAGGGCGAGTTAGTGCTCAGTCTCATGGAGGAATCTCCTAGATGGCAGGGCTTGCGTGGCTTATGTAGCCGCCGCCTGATGAGGTGCAGCTGTGACCGATCAGCCTGTGATGATGATGGCCAGGTGCTCCTCGCTTGTTTCCAGGGCGACGCTGATGAAGCTTCGAGCCGCTCGTCACAATATATATAAGTGCTGTCAAACGATTAATCACATCCAAAATAAGTTTTTGTTTACATAATATATGTGTGTATACTGTGTATATTTATTATGTATATATAAATACAACCACATGCATGTATATATTTAAGAAAAATATGTTATGTCTATATATTAAATATATTAGCAGACAGATTACACTTTCACATGTGACCAACAATTCCACAACAAATATAAAATATCATAATGAAATATTATCAAAATATTCAACTGATGGAGGTGACAGAACTGACAGAGTTGACACATCTGACGGTGGTGACAAAAACCTGAATTTGTAATAATTTTAACTATCAAATACATTGAATCAGTCAATTACTGTATTAAAACAAACAACAAACAGTGAGTATGTTATTGTTTATAAAGCTTTTATTCAAGAGTCACATTTAAGTATTTTGATATATCATTGGAACACAAAATCTTATGGTGGTGACATCTGACGGTGTTGACAAATTTGGCATTTCTTTCACAAAACCAATGGAGTTCATGTAGTAGCCATTTTATTTTTTCTGTTGATGCTAGATGCTAATGGAACCTGCTTAAGGAGAATCAAATTATCTAAATATTTCAAATAATTTCCTCAGAAATTGGAAGATGGTGTTGACATATCATGGCTGTGACACAGGAAATTTGAACATTAGGATTTAAAATATTCTAAAACTATGAAACTTCGCAGAGCCTGTCTGACACTGATGTACTCTGCAGAGGTGAACTGTGGCAAGGGGGTCCTTTAGAGTGACAGCTGCCCGATATTCTCTGATTCTTGATGGGTGTTTGTGAGAAAGGTCCAGGTAGGTGCCGTGAGTGCTCTCTTCCGTCTTCCCAGTGCAGAGGGTCCGTGCAGTGCTCCTGTGGGGCTAGTCGGTCACATGCTACTTTCTGTGGGAAAAATGAGAGGGCGAGTTAGTGCTCAGTCTCATGGAGGAATCTCCTAGATGGCAGGGCTTGCGTGGTTTATGTAGCCGCCGCCTGATGAGGTGCAGCTGTGACCGATCAGCCTGTGATGATGATGGCCAGGTGCTCCTCGCTTGTTTCCAGGGCGACGCTGATGAAGCTTCGAGCCGCTCGTCACAATATATATAAGTGCTGTCAAACGATTAATCACATCCAAAATAAGTTTTTGTTTACATAATATATGTGTGTATACTGTGTATATTTATTATGTATATATAAATACAACCACATGCATGTATATATTTAAGAAAAATATGTTATGTCTATATATTAAATATATTAGCAGACAGATTACACTTTCACATGTGACCAACAATTCCACAACAAATATAAAATATCATAATGAAATATTATCAAAATATTCAACTGATGGAGGTGACAGAACTGACAGAGTTGACACATCTGACGGTGGTGACAAAAACCTGAATTTGTAATAATTTTAACTATCAAATACATTGAATCAGTCAATTACTGTATTAAAACAAACAACAAACAGTGAGTATGTTATTGTTTATAAAGCTTTTATTCAAGAGTCACATTTAAGTATTTTGATATATCATTGGAACACAAAATCTTATGGTGGTGACATCTGACGGTGTTGACAAATTTGGCATTTCTTTCACAAAACCAATGGAGTTCATGTAGTAGCCATTTTATTTTTTCTGTTGATGCTAGATGCTAATGGAACCTGCTTAAGGAGAATCAAATTATCTAAATATTTCAAATAATTTCCTCAGAAATTGGAAGATGGTGTTGACATATCATGGCTGTGACACAGGAAAT